AGAAGGAAGCACCGAATTGACTAAAAAAAGTATAATTCAGTTACAAAAATATGTAACTTGAAAGCAAACAGAGCTTCGAATTTTTTGTGAGATCTCCTTGCAACGTAGAGCCCCAAAAAGCGCTAATGAGAAACAAATACTAGCCTGAAATCGAGTAAGAGCAACGGATTGAAGCTTTCGTAAGTGTTTTAGGGAAGGTATTTTCTCCGAAACGAAACCTTATGCAAAAACCTGAAATCAGATATGATATGATTGCTGAATTTGTACTCAGAATTTAGATTGAGGAAGCTCATTCTGGACCTGAGAAAATGTGTTTTAAATGCATATGCATTAAGTTGCAAAACCTATTCAGCCCTTGAGTCTCTGTCCCTGCCAGCTTTATTTAATCGCCCCCTTATGAATGAGATTTTTCCATTAGTTTAGCGAGCAATTCTCCATTTTCCAATTAGTGGCCAATACATGCAGTTAAGAGTCGTTGGCATTGTGCGCTTACAGTATTATGGTTTCGCCCTCCTGATTGGTATCGGTACTTTGCCAAAAATAGGACCCGCATCGGGCAAATAAAACGCAAAACCGTCCCCCTTGTGTTTCATTAGTGTTTTGTGCGTTTATACATCTGTTTTTCATCCCTCTATTCGGTGACACGCAGAATTGGGGTGGTAGAATTAACCCCTGCTCACCTGGCCCGACTGCGCTGCATGGCGGCCATATTTAAAGGCGTTCACAATGGCTGACGGCGTCGCGAACGATTATCAGACGATCCCATCAGAGATAGGACGAGATTAGCAGGACGGGATCCTAACGGACTTCCGCAGCTGGTTGTGCGGAAAGGATGGGGTACATAAATGCATAAACGTAGTCAGGTTATGTACGCAAAAAAATTGCCAAAATCCTAAAACAAATGCCAAAATTATCATCGGTTGGTCTGAAGCTTGCGGAGAACTATCTAAAACTCTGAAAGAACATCAGCCCGAGAATAAATTAAATTTCAGGAAAACGGGGCTTTTTAAAAACCATCGTGCACTGGAAAGAATGAAGCGATGCGCATTTTATATTAAATTATTTACATTCGTTATGGAAGTGCATTAGCTTAGCAGATATGATTAACCGAGGGGATAGCAGGGGCTGTAGCCTCAAGCCCCAACATTGACAGGGCCCCTCGAACTCGAATATTCAAAATATTTTCAGATTTTACTGCCTTAAGTGTGCCCCATATCCATTTCAGTCCCGGGCCTCGTAAAGCTAAGTCCGCCCTTGGACGCAAATCGAAGTTTTGTTGCGTTTCATCCAGGCGGGCGATCTTCGGTTTCCAAATTTTCGTCCAATCGTCGATATTTTTTGCTTCAGTTTTTTCAGTAGTTCAGGAACTTTAATTGCTGATGCGGATGTGATTGATATCTCCGATATAAACATCGACTTTTCCTTAAAAATAACTTTATTAGCGTTTGCATTCTTAGTTATGCCAAATGGGTGCTAGAATCTACTGGGGATCATTCTTTTAAACTTTATGGTAATTCAAACTACCTATATAAAATCAGTGTGTCTACTAATACGTAAAATAATACTTTTGTCTTATTTTTGGCAGAAAATAAGAATATGGAACCCAATTTTGGATCATGCTCTATTATTATTGGTATTATGTTCATAATCTTATTGTATGAATGCAGAGGAAAGTTTCCAAGACATTTTCTGGATTGTCATTATTTCCACACGTTCGTCCATTAGTTAATTCATCCCCTTCATCGCTTTGAAAGATTTAGGTTTGACAGAAGGAATCCAAGAAGCTCTGATTAAATCTCACGTGAAAGTGTGATTTTGCATGGAATTACTATTAGGATGATTGAAAATAGTGATGAGCGAGACTGGTCTTGGTCTTGCAAAAAATGCAAGACAAAGACCAAGTCTGCAGTTGACTTGCAAGATCAAGACCAAAACTATGTATGCAAGAACAAAACCAAGACTATGCAAGGCTTGGTCTTGGTCTTGCTTTGCTCATCACTAATTGCAAGTCGCAGCCTTTCTTTTGATTCAGTGTGCTCACGTGGATAGTACGAGGAAACATGTGAAATAGGTTTTTTTTGAGAAAATCTTTGACAAGAAAACTACAAGTTTATTGACGAAGCGATATGCTCTGCTTAGTTAATTGGTTACTTGCTTAACTGCATAGCGATGACAAGCAGCTCGACTCGATTGAATTAATTGATACAAGTTCAGGTGTTCGATTATTTGCATCAATTATTTCTTCTCCACATTCAGTTTTACTCAATAGCTCCAAACCTCGAATGAAACATAAGATTTTTGAAAGAAAAATTCACAGATAGAAAACCGACTAACGGGTGTAGACTTAGAGTCTCTAATATATTTTGCTGCGTTTGAAGTTGATTTTTTCCTAACCATGATTCTTAGGCTTAGAGGAACTAAATAAATATAGACTTGCCAAAACAGTTCAAGTGTTATGAATAAATTCATTTCAGCTCAATTCATTTCAATTCAAATTTCAGCTCTTTCCTTATAGTCTAAGTGGAATATTCGATTGGAAATGCGCATCGATAGTGTCTAACAATGTTCTCCTCCATCGATCGATTTCAAAGCATTTGCATTTTAGAGGCCCCAAGCACGGGTCCCTGGCCGGTTCATCCGCTCGATACAGGCTGTAATTTAATTTGAATATAACCATGGCATTATTTTGCCTGCCCGGTGCAACATGTGCTTCAAATCATATACCACGCAGACGACCAAACAGCAAAGCTCTCTTGTTTATGTTAAGCTGGCCATCGTAAAATGCATTTTCGAGATTCGGAGTCATGCAATATAATATGGCGTGATACGACAACAAACTACATATCTTTTCAGCGGATCGAGTAACAGGATTCTTAAAGGATCGATTTGTATGCGCTGAGTTATGGGTGTTCGGTTGGGCCTTTTCCAAAGACATTCGATTCTCGTGCAAACTCCTGCAACACTTCCATCCATTGTTGTTTCGAAAATTGGCGGTGGCAAGTTTGCTAAGGTTTCCGGAAAAACTTCCTTGCTTAATTCAAAATGGTTTAACAAATTCTTCATTAGAAGCCGTCGAGAAAACAAGCAAAATTTGACGATAATTTTTTTTTGCTTAGAAAATTTACTATCAGTTGCCCAGACCCATTTATGTCTGAAGAGTGAAAGGAAGAAGCTTCACTTGATGTCAGCTGGCAAATTTAAATTTACAAGCACCAGATAGCTGAGCTTAGTTTTAACTAATTCCTGAAAATTTCAAAAGTCATCCATATATTTCAGGTCTTTTCCAACCAAGCCCATTTGGCAAGAGTCCATGATAGATGCGTCTCCATTTATATTGTTCTTTGCTAAATTGCATCTTATTCGATAATAATGTTTTGCAAATATCTTTCTTATTATCAATTCATTGCTACTTTGTAGACGGCCAGGCCAGTTCAAATAATTAAAATAAATGTCCCGGAATTGGACAGGAAAGCAATTAAAGGTCTATAAAAGAAGCTTCATTCTTTTAGAGGATTACAACTGAAATACAATTTTTGGATATTCACAGCTTCTCTGCAGTAGTTTTCTTTTGATGCTGTCAGCTGGTGTTCTGGCGCTCTCGGTTGTGTGGTCCTTCAGCCAGCGATTTTCCCACTAAAGCCCTTCCTAAGCATCCAGTACTGTACAACCGTTATGTCGTTATTTCAGTTCTATTGTGCCCTTGTCTCTTCTACTCCTTTCAGGAAAGACTATGACTTCATTTGGTAAGACTTGATCGCTTTCCAGTGGCCTTCGTCTTCCTCTTGTATTTGCAATGCAGTAGCACATTATACACAGAATACATAGTTATATTATTTCTACAAGTTCCTTCAAGGGTTGTGTTTAGTTGCAAATGCCACAATCCTCATTATTTGTTGTCTGCTCAAATCTAATTGTTCTTTTTTGCGTGCTGATTGTGGAAATTTTGCAAGCTGTTTTGTGATAAGCAGTCGCGATCTCTGCCTCCATCCAACACTTTTTACACTCCTCCCAGCACGGTTCTTGATCAGCGTATGGTTGCTCAGGCAGTTTATTTTACTCCAGCTTGTTTGAGGATTTTAGAGGCTGTATTGTCGGTTCATCCCCGGTATGGTAAGTGGTGTGTGAGCCCTTCCCTCATCCCCTTTTCTGTGGGCGAGGACGTCTGTGCTTTGTTCAATTTAGCTTATTTTTAAATAGCCTTTTTTAAAAGGCTCCTATCGTATGGTTCCTAAACCTACAATTGACACATTTTTTGCTCTGAAAGGCTTGCCTTTCAACATTCAACCATAAATAATTTATTCGGGGGTCAAATTTGCGAATTAATTTTTTAAAATGGATTTTCAGCAACAGCACTAGAAAAATTTCCTGCTGAACTTTGCTGTTGAAATGATATATTTGTGAAATTTCAATGTCTCTTCTATATAATTACCAGTAATTAGCGGACATATCAAAGCGTGATATCACTATATTAACGGTAATTTATCGGCAATACCGCTGGATATTAATAACTATCCGGGTTCTAGTGACTAGACCAGACCAGAATAACGCAGCTCCCTTTCATGAGATTCCGCTCGATAGTACCAAACGTCGATTACACGGCATATGCACCACGGTGCCGCATAGAAAGTTCCCGCCTTCTACACAGGCCAATTAAACTCTTCGTTTGTTTTGAAAGTCTGTCAAAATTTACATAATAAATCCGTAGAGTCATCGAAGAAGATTAGACGTGGAAAAAAAATAGACAATGAGAAATGGTTTTCGTTTATGGTTTGCGAATGCAGATATGGTTGGTTCCTGGTTTATGCTCTGATAAATCGTTCAGTTGATTGTCGGCCAAAGTGGTTCTAATTTTTCTATTAATTACTGAATAGTACTCGATTGTTTTCATGCTTTTTGCCTTCTCCTGGCGTCCTGGTTGGACAATTCCCCGGGATTCATTTGGCTCTTCAACTGGTACTAATGGTCCTGCTAATTATTTTGACACCGCTTTGTTGTTACAGCCTCTAGAATGTCGTCGAGTCAAGTGTGTAGGCCGCATTTTCACCCGCCACTGCATCCATGGCTATCGGACGCCTCTGCCAAACCTTTGGGGCATTCGGGCCCTTGGGTGCCTTTTGGAGGCGGCGCTGGGGACCCGGATAAGAGCCAAAGCCCCAACACAGCACCCGCTCAACCTCACAACATATTCTCGTTTCCTCCGACACCGCCTAAAGACTCAACGCCTGATTCGGTAAGTTTTCGCATTTCGTTACCTTCCTTGCAATTATTGAGCTTTTAAAGAAAAACGGAAATATTTAAAACATTGGGGTCGTTTCTTTGAAAGTGTTGTTGAGACAACACTTAAATAAACTTAGGTTTTGCAAAAATGTTTGCTTAGTAAATATATGTTATATATGTGGCGTAGCCTGAGGAACATTTGACTTGGCGATGGAAATACTCGAATGAAATAACTCGAATTCTTTGATTATGAGAGGAATGCAATTAATTCAACTAATTTTTAAAGTTTTTTATGCCTCGAATTCAGTATACAGCACCATTCACGTTTGCGATAAGGGAGATTGATGTGTATTGTTAATGATGAGGCTCTGGGGAACAGAAAGAGTCAACGAAACAAGTGGGAATGTACCGATATCAAACAGAGACGTAATATGAGACTAGTCATACCAAAACAATGCGACTTAATGGGAGGAGGATATAGAAGTTAAATAGAATTTTAGTGAAAATCAAAGCGAAATGCAGTTCGAGCAGGCATGGGTAACACTGTGTTGAGTTGCGTTGTTGCTGCCTTGTGAGCTAATGAGTTATCACTCATTGCGTCTCAGTGCGCTGCACTTTGAATTACGCTTAGCATTTAAGGCCAGGGCGTACTAAAGCTTTACGAGGCCGGGGACTTGAATTATAACACTTTAAAAAAAGTCACCACATTTTTTACGAGCAGCCTTTCGCTTTACCACTTTGTCAAAACTTGAAACTTAAATCGAACACATAAGAAACAGGAAATCACATTTTTTTATTTCTAAGGTTTTACCAAGTAGGTGACTGCACTGGTGAGTTACACTGCGCCAACTCCTGAACAATCACTGAGTTCATTCGAAACAATTTTATTCAATCCAGAATCAGAACAATAATTTAAACAACTTAAAATAGTATATAATTATTATCGAATTAGGTTAGAAATAGTGACTGGTTGTTGTCGACTTATCATCATATTGACGCAGATTTGTAATCCAGGAAATGCTATTTATTAATTGAAAACACAGTGTTTCTAAGTCCTTGCCATCCATCTACTTGTTAATATTTTTATTAGATCGGATAAAATCATTCGGATGATCAATTGGATAAAATCAATACGATTATTTCCATCGCTAACTCGATTGGTTGGTTGTGAGGTGTTAATCATTGTTTGTTTTTGGGTTCCAGGTGGCACCGAGCGCCGGTTCGGAGTACCAGAGCGCAGTGGCGGCGGCGATGGGCGCTTTCATGCACGAAAACCCCCAAAGTTGCGCCCTGGACGTGAAACCATCGGGTGTGAGTGCCGCCAACGGAAGTAACAAACAACGCGAAGGTAGTGAATACGACGGGACCTCAGGTGGCATGTTTAATAATGGTAACTTTGAAAGCTCGTACGGGGCTTCGCCGTATGGCCACGGTATTCATGCGGGGGGTTACTCACCCCAGGGCAAGGGGGGTTTGGGGAGCTCCGCGCAAGTTCAGTCGCCCAATAAGCCCAGGAATAAATCGAGGACGAGCGCCGGTAAGCGGTTCAGGGCTTGGTGGTGGTCGTGGTGGTGGTTGCTTTACATTCATAACTGTTTGATTTAAGAGGATCGCTCCGATCTCACGCACTTTTGCACCACAACGTGTGTTGCACCCTAATCAACTAACCAGCTAGTCACCAGTTATTTCACTAACACGCCGAACTAACCGCTTGCGTTCTCAGATAGGAACAATCGCAGGATCAGTGAAGAAACCTTAGTGAAGACCCAATGAAAATAACAGCAGATTTCATCTCTTTCACTAACATCGTTAGGGTACCTACACGATCGTTGAGGTTTGATTTTTCATTCGAATACTTTTTCCTTAGAATAATCCAAAAGAAGTCTCTCTTGAGCTGGCAACTTTCAATTTCACTTTTATAAGAAGGTTTAACATTAGCCCACGATTGCATGTGGACATACTTAACCGTTAGAATACACCCTCTTCTTCTATTGTCTGGAGTGGTTTGATTTGTCGATCAATCTAACCTTTCGCAAAACACAGATTTTCATTGAGAAATTGTATGGAATTTGTATAGTACAATATCAAAGTTACAGTAACTGTAAATTCAGTTTTTTACGATAGTAAATTTTGGAGAAAAATGATAACTGAAATGTTTATTAACCTTATTTATATCTAGAAGTTTATCTTCCTAGTTATACAGCTCCATTCCTTGTGGTATTTTGATAAACGTTAATGAACTGTGAAGTCAATGAATAACATTAAAGTCCTTTTCCCTTGAAAACTTACTGTTGCTTAAATTTCTTTTAAACTTCGAATTTCCTAAAGAATCAACAAACGTATTTACAAGTACCGCTTTAATCTGATGCGACGTAATTTGCTGTTCTCACATGAGTAATTATCGATATACAGGGTGGCTCATTTTAAAAGAACCAGTCAAATATCTTGGCAAAACACTGACATGGATTAGTATATTTTTGACTACGAAACCCGATTCAACAATTCACACAAAAATAGAAGAAAATCCACATTTTCTTGTATTTATGAGCCACTCTGTATATATGTATATAAAAATGTATATACAGGGTGTTCAAGTTTCATGAGCATACATTTTTGACTCATTTAAAAAATTCAGTGACGATAGAGAATCGATGAACAATGAATTTGGATCGTAAACTATGTTCGATAACGTCGTAAAGGAACTACAGGAGGGCACAAGTTTATCTTTAAAAATGTGATAGATTGATCCGATGTGATGGAAAAATCTCTTTGGGATTCTCCACGCAGTGTGATGGAATCAAGTTTCCTTTCAATTTTTTTGTACACTTCAATACATTTTCCACATCGTGTAAGGATTTTTTTGCCGCTGATCAAGATAAAGTCATTGGGATTTTGCTGGTTACTATCGCAGGCTTTCTGAATTCTAAAAACTAAATCATCTCTGTTTAAAATGAAGTAGAACCTTTGTCTGTTACATGTCCCCATATGTAAAAGTCCAATGAATAAAAACCCGAATCCGGTGATCCGGGTGACCAAATCCAGTCCAAGCCCATTGAGCATATTATCATTTATTTAATTCCTCTGACCGGACAATCCACTCTCTTACATAGCTATTTCAAAACGCGGGTGAGCATCATCCAGTTGTACTCACCTTTTTTGTCTTAAGTGAGGAAGTAAACTATCAATGTAGGCCATTAGTGACAGGTTCAAGGAATAGTTCTGAATTCAAGCTTGGTCATAGACAATGTGCCCCCAAATAGTATAATATTAAAAACTCATTACCGAACGTTCACTGAAAATTCAGTTTGAAATGACAGTGAACGAATTTCTCGAGGATTTTCATGTAGCCGAACATGGAGATAATGGGAATTCGTTACCTCGCTTGTACTGAATGAGGATTCATCCGTGTGAAAAGTCAAAATGTTTTTCTATCGAGTTTAAAATCCCAAGGCGAAACTGCACTCGTTTTCCAACATATTCAGGATGTAAATCTTACAAGGGCTGTAGGTAATGTGCATGCATACATGCATGACATCTCGTAGTGTTGGCAATATTTGAAATTTTTGAGAAATAGAAATTCCTGGATTCGGAAAAAATTTGATTGTGTCTATTGTTCTCGTACTGGATATTTCGAGCACAATTCCCATAATTTTCGTTACTGAGAAACATCACAGATCGTTGCACTGATTTTATACTGTTTTATTAAATGATTAACAATTATTTTTTACTTGCAAACGCAGGGTCTTACAGAGGAATTGAAGGGGACTTTTTTTATTTAAAAATATCCATTCATCTGTTAGTACGGAGGCCACTGACAAGTTTTTTTGCAAAATGTGCTTCCTTGTTGGCAGTTATCGCCTGCAAAAATCGTTTAAATTTCCACAGCCGTTTGGTAGCAATTAGTAAATTCGATTTTTTTAAAGCCCAACTTAAGCACCCTGCAAAAGAAGCAAAATACAGAGTTCATAGTCACCAAATCGAGAAATAGATGATTTGGAAATAATCTGCATTTCAGTAGTTCGGAAACTCGCCTTAAAGTCATAGTGGCTAAGTGCTTCATATATAGCCACCCTCGCAGTTTTTACGTGTTATTATCGAACAACCTGTATATTAAAAAAGAAAGTGCAAATAACTGCAAAATGATGGTTGGGAACAGAGACATAAATTCTATACGGTCCCGTAGCTGTTGATTCGCATAAATTTTTTGAAAGTTAAATCCAGCAACTGTGTTAAAATCAAAGCAACATGAAGAAAGGAACAACAGCACTGTAATTATGCAAATTGCTTTGATGTCAAGGTCCAAAAGAGAACAATTACCAAACCCTTTACATTAATTCAGTGTCTTCATCATCATCATCATCATCTTCCGAATGTTTTGCCCATTTAACATCGGATGCATTCGCAACACTTCCTCCGAGTTTCTTCAGTAACCAGCCACAATTAAGCGCTTAATGATTGCATTAGTATCCGCCATTTTCTTGTGGCCATCCGTGAAGTTAGCGCACGGGTTAATTAAAAATTACATACAACGAAACCAAGAGTGACTGCGAAATGGGTACGAAATAGCTTCTTTGTTTTCGCTTGGCGTTTGTTCGGATGTTCGTGGCCTTCTTCAGCGTGCTCGCTTGCATGAGAATCGTCCATCAGTGGCGTGCCTACTGGCAGCAAATGTACCTACACATACCTACGTGGAAGTAGGCTGGAGCAAGTATCATGCGAAAACAAAAGCGAGAGTTTCTCTACATTTAGACGCACAATTCAATCGCCTTTATAGTCGGTAAAGTAATAAATTATTATCCGCATTTGCATATTAATGTCTCAATCGATTAGACATCAAACAAATGCGGTTAGCTGGCCACACGCCGGTATACCCATTTTACTTGCAAATCGCAAATGTTTCCAACAATATATTATAAAACGATCATAATTACATAATGAGCCGAGCAAGCGGAAACATTTACAATCGATAGATGTCTATATATTAAGGGTACCAATTATGTAAAATTGTTCCTTGGATTCAGTCAAACTTTTTTTGACATCAATCAATTGGTTTATCCCAGAAAGATCAATACTGTTCCAACCATGGGAAGTTTGAAAGCCCGTTTGTTGTTTTGTTTTAAGAGTTGAGTTCGATATGAAGGAGACAAACTTAAATGTTCTAGAGTTTTTCGAAAGTTCTCCTCAGATTCCTCTACAAGGCATCAAGCATATGGAATAGTTAATCGTTAATTAATATGATTGATCGTACTGATGAAGTTGACTGCAATCTGAAGTCGTTTCTCGGGTATTTAACCTGAATGGTTGCGACAAAGATTGGCTTCTAAGTGCGGCAAGTAAGACGAAGCTATTAATCAATACCCATAGGTAACAAACAAAAATTAACTCAAAGCAAACGTGAAAATGAAAATCCAAAGCATACGGTTTACAATCTGAAAGTGGGCGGGAAAAAGACAAGTTTTTGAATACTTTATAGTACTCATCACCTTGGAAACTGTCCTAAATAGGACAATATACTTACCTACAAGGTTATTTATATAAGCAAAAAGAGTCAGACTAAGTGGGTAATGAAAACAACTCAATCAAGAATGTCGCGTGAAATTTCCTCAGAGCTGTGAACAAGCCTCGAGTCATGTTGAAGTTAATTCCTGCGCCTCGTTGTGGGATTAAACGGTACAAGATAAGCTGATTTCGAGATTTTGGAAACTTCCAATCAGCAAAACAACCAAAATCCATTATCTATATGGAAAGTAATCCGCTGCGATTGCCTTCGATAATAGTCAACAGGGACCAAGTCTGGCCATTCGACAGGAAATGATTAGCATCCACTAAACCACAGTTTAATTAGAAAGTGTTTTCTAGAAGAATTGTCATTTAAATGGAAAACCCGCTGTTAGGTTTGTGACAATAGCAGCTGACACAATTTAACGATCAGATTGACTGTCTGACACGCTAGAAGTACGCGTATCCACATTAAAAACTGATAAACGAATATTGCGAAAGAATTTCGATTTGAAATAAATACGTTCGGGAGCAACTTTCACTTCAAAATGTGATCTATTACCTGCTGCTAACAGTAAAAAATACAATTAGCTTATCGGCGCCTTATCATTTTCGTAGAGGTTTTGAACAATGGAACAGGTTTTGTGAAGGACCACTACGCAATTTGCTGGTATTGGAGGAAATCTACTGGGTGGAGCAATATCCTGGAATTGAAAACTTCAAGTTAATACATGCTTGGTAGTGAAATTGAGGAGATTAGTTTTACCTACTTCAGTAAACTTAAAATAGATTTCAATTGCGATTATTTCAATTGAGATGCCACCGATAAAGCAGGATGCTTTAATTTAAGTGTGTGAATTTTTACAGTATTTTTCGCCATACTATTCTTTGGTGACTATCGATGGAATCGATCTATTGATGTTTTGAGCGAATATTATTTAGAAATATTTCTTATTCCTATAAATAAATTTTCAATACTCAAGTACCTACCTTCAACTAGTCAATTATAGGTAAAACACTTCACTGTTTTATTACTTA